AGAAATCTGAAGTGCTGAGTAAAAATACCAGAAGACCCACCATCATGTGAGCCATTAATAATGCATGATAGAGCTCTCTAGCATAATTTTATACTCATCTTTTGTTAGTAATTCAGATATCAGGAAGCATCTTGTATGTGATTTTAATCTAACTTTTAATTCACTTTAGCAACCTAGAATTCCTCTTCCAGTTGTTTTTAATGAATATCTTAATATACAGTGTCTGTCATAGTACATGGCTTTAGCTGATGATAAATCCTTTTCACTGTGTCTGATGTTAAATGTGTATTTCTTGTGTTTATAATAAAATTACAGATGTAGGTTGGGCTTTTATACTCTCAACTGTGCCAAAACTAATGAAATTCAGTTGGAGGTGAGTGCTGAACTCCCTTGCAGTTGTGCAGAATTTGCAGCTTTAATGAATTTTGAAAAGGGAACTATCAAGTCTAATCATACTTCTAGCACTGAAAGAATTTTAAACAGCACCGAAATGTAACACAAAACCTCAGCCTCCAGAAAATGTCATTTTGGCTCTTTGGAAGTTGCTGAAGCAAAACAAATTTAATTTTACTGTACAGAATTTAGTTGTTAAAGCAATTAGGATTGCTATGCACACCAGCCACAGTCCCCAGGAAGCAAGTGAAAACTTAAACCACCTTACAGCACTTCTGTTTCTGTCCCTGTCAGTATGTATTTTATACTAGCAACTGTCTTACATTTATGTATGTTTAGTCTTTGACAGAACTTTTGGGATCTGTGCTTTGTTTAGTGTGTTCAGGGTGGTTAAAGAGATGGTAGAAGCCTGACGTTGGTGGGGGTCTGTATGAGGAATGGTATGTAGCTTGTAAAATACAGTATTTCTGAGAATAGTAAATATAGCTAGCAAGATAGTAGTTGTGTGTTTTCCTTTAATTTTGCTGTTTTGAACTTGCACCAGAAATATGGTTTGTTCGCTGTTCATAATTGCTTCACAGTGAAATTCTTATGTGGTGCCTGATGGTGATCTGAGTGGATTGACTGAAATGCTCTTTCTCAATTGCTGTACTTAGGTTAGCAGTTTATACAAACCCTCCTCTGTAGGGCAAAAATTTGAATAATAAAAGTAACCTGTGAAGCAGAGGCTTTCACATGTGCTCTCCAGGACCATAGTGGTAAGACTTGTGATATGAAGTTGGACAGAAAACAGTCATAAATCTGCTTTATTTGGAAAGATCTACATGTCATGTGGAAATGCTGCGGTTCCTCTGTTAGATGTCGGCAGTTCAAAGGAAGACGGTCAAAGCCACAATTTAACTTTATTAAACTTTGAGCAACCGAACTTTGTGTAACACAGAGAGACTTGTACATATTTCAAGAGTATAAAAACTGCTAATACCGAGTTCTAAAGTGGAAAAGAATTCTGTTAATTCCAAATATTGTTCTATGTATTTTGCCTATAATGTAGTAAAAATGACTATTATTGAATGTGTCTGTAAATTTTGCTCCTTAGTATAAGAATTAATGTAACAAAACAAGCTCCTCTTGGGCTGAAAAGCTGGTTTATTGGATGATCCACAACTTGCAGAGAACAGACTTGGAATAACAACCTTCCCTTATTGTTGTTATCTTGGGATTTTTAAAATTGCGAAAGAAACCTTCAGAAAGAAAAACCATTAAAACTGTTTCTGAAATTATTCATTATAAGACTTTTGATACCATGCTTAACTGTTAGAAAAAAAAAATTCTGTTCCTGGTGCCTGCCTCAAACTGAATCTTATTTTTAGCCTCAGCTACACCACACCTTAATTTGAGGACCGAGTTAACATTTTATCGGTGTCATATTTTACATTTTAAATTCCTTAGGACCGTAGTGGAGAGGGACTTCAGAGCTGATCTGAATTTTTTTCCTTACGTGCTTATTTCATTTGTTGCAATTGGGCAGTAGCATTTTTCCAAAACAGTTGGAGATGAGAATTTGTGATGTTTGAAGCAGACTTGAGACAGCAGAAAGAACTTAGGCTTAGGTTTGGGAGGGGTCACCTGTTATCAGAGCTTCTTTGATTAAAGGAAGTTGTTCCAGCATTCCAGACTTGCGGCATGCCTATGCTTGTATGGCTTACCAACTAATTGTATCTGGGGGGCTTGAGTTTTTGTGGAGTTGATTTGATATTTCGGTAACATCAAATCTTAGACTGCCTGATAAGTGATATTTCATATCATCTTTTGTATGATCTGAGTGTAATTACTTTGCCTGTACTATTTATTGCTTGCTTCAGAGACATCTAACTTTCTGGGATATCAAAAATACCTTCTATTTAAAATTGTCCTAAAAGTCTCTTAAATTTTTATGCCAGTTTCCTGCATATTGCTGTTAAAGTGTGACTGCAGGAGAAGTCTACTTTTCCATAACTTTTGTTTCTTTCTTAACTGACTTGACTCAGATCTTAAATACTGAAAGTGAGCAGCTATTATCACAGGCCACTTAAATGTCTTAGTTACTCTGTTCCAGGAACTTATATGCTCTTTGCATCTTGCATGGAGCTTATACTGAAAATGTAAGCAATGTTACTAATGGTTGCCTGTTACTAATATTTACCTCAGACTATATTTTTGTTTGTCTGGTCTTCAGTGCTTATTACTAAAGAGATTTAAAAGCTTCTCATTGTGTATACAGATACCTGAGTTTTTGTTGTGCCCTTTTTCTAACTTAACCTCAAAACATACTCTTTGTCTTAGGTAGCTAGTACTTTTAAATTTGATGGAGGAAATGTAGCTAATCCCACCTTAAATATTTTTGATCAGTTACTAAATACTGGCCATCAACTTCATTTTCTGATGTGTAGGTGGTTCTTTAGTCAGTGTGTCATTATTTAGCTTACCATCATAACACTCAATAATGTGTATCTTTAAAGTTGCATTTTACTTCTTGCATATCCTTAGATAGTGCTTTTTACTTCTTTAGTGCTGAGTAAGTGGGTATTACTCATTCCCTCACATTGTTTCGACACCTGTTAGTTGTACCGTATGGACTGAGGAATGTGAGTTTTCTTTCAGCTTGTCAGAGTTGAAAAAAGATGAATGTAACTTTCAAAAGGGTCAGTCTTCAGACAAGCTATGGCCAGTACAATATGGATGAAAAAGAATTTGAATTATCTTCCACCCACAGTTAAATTACTGCTCTTTGCAATTTTATTGTACCCAGTGAGACTTCATTCTTTGGGATTGGTATTTCAGTACAGTGAAGTTGCCTTGTTACAGAAGGGGAAATGCAGTTTTCCAAGCATCATTTAGCTAAGTTCTTATCTGCCTTTCTCTGAATTTCAGAGATGTTTTTTGATATGGTGCTTTATATAACCCTGTCTGAATGGTAACTTTATGTGACTTTATTCTTTGAAAAGCTGTTCTTTTTAAGTTGGGCACTAACTGAAAGTTTTACAGGTGCCAAGTAATTGCGTGGTACTGGCAGTGCTAGTGCTACTACTGTGCAGCTTTTGATGGGCTTTTTTTGTGCCCTGAATTTTTTCTGAATGTGGGAATGTTCAGCATTAAAATAATTTTTACATTTTACATTGTGTCTTTTAAAGGCAAAAAAAGAATTTTTACTACCATAGAAATGCTTTCATATTTACTTCTTGGAAGATCTTAGTAATAACTGCTAGTAGTGGCTAGACAGGAAACAAGTATAGGAAATTATTTTGGTGTAGCTGTATGTAGCTGTATACTAGTACTTATGAAAAAGAAAAGCTGTACTTATTTAGAATTGCAAGCTGGCAGAAACTTGTGTAGGAGTTTCTATTGCTGCTGCTGCAAAACAGTACTATTGATATTTAATTTTCAACTTAATTATGATGTAAGCATCTTTCCCTTCCTCCTCCAAACACAAACATTTGGTTTAAGGAAGTTGATTTCCCCCCCCCACCCCCGGACTGGTGCTTCCACTGCATAATAAAAATTTGAGATCTTTTGTAGTATTTCCTGACAGTAAATTAAAAAAACATATATAAAGGAACTTGAAAAATTGTGTGTTGGTAATACTGTACACAACTACTTGTTAATTTTATGACCACCTAATTGGACAAATTGAGGATTAAGTGTCATTGGCTTTGTGATACAGAAAGGCCATGTGGTATAGAACACATTGTTATATGTATAGTATTGAAGAGCTGAGTGGTTATATTTATCAAGACGCTTAAGTTCTTTAGCCTGAGTCATCAGGAATGAGAAACCAGATTAAGGTGTAAGGAGTGTAGTGGAATATCACTACTTGACTGTGGAAATTAATTATTGTTCTCTGTCAAATCTATACCTCTGTACGCCCACACAAGGATTTTTACTCTGTATTTAATCCTGATTTAATGCATACCTATAGGAAGTATTAAGAGTAGCTGCTAACCAGAACTGTCCAGCCGTTATCCTAGGACTTTTTCCCTACTTGGAATTGTGTAAGTGCAGCTCCAGACTACTCTAGATAGTACCTCTTGGAATAACTCCATGCCAGACCTGTCTTCTCTGAACCTGGGAAGCAATGTTTGCATAAAAGTGCCTCAATTTATGGACAATAAATGCAAATATCTTTACTTGTGTTTAACTTATTAAACTGCTTGTGAACATGTTGTTTATAAAAAGTTATTCATACTTAGTGTTTGTAGGATCATAAGCGTGTTTTGTGTTGGAATTTTTAAGAATGAAAGAATAAGTTAAAACTTAGTGGGAACTTTCAGAAAACTACTGACTTGTGTCTGTGTGCATTAAGTGCAGAATCTCCACTGCTCTGCATGGGAAAAGTAAGAGATTTTAGCGTTAGTTTGAACAGTACTCCTTTTCTAACATTGGCACCTGAAGTTTACTAAAATATGTGAAACGAGTTTGTGAGGGTTCTGTAGTTCTTAGTAGGGGAAGAAGCACTATGTAAATGTGGAGGAAAAGTTCAGTTTTTCTGATGCCTGGGGACCTGGAGAACTGTCTTGGATATTTTCTTATTGATGCAGTTATTCACTAACTTCTTTTGAATATCTTTTATTAGATTTTCTTCCTGGATGTTTCTTCAACTGTATTGTGATGGAAGGGAAATGTTTTTGAAGTTATAATGGATTTTACACAACATCGTAACAAAAACTGGCCCAATAGCAGCATTTCTGTTTGAAGAGAATAAACGTAATTACAAATAATCATGACAACTTCTCATATGAATGGACATATCACAGAAGATTCTGACAATGAAGCAAAAAATGTGGATCTTGCATCTCCTGAGGAACCTCAGAAGCACAGAGAAATGGCTGTTGATTGCCCTGGGGATTTGGGCTCCAGGATGATGCCCATGCGACGGAGCGCTCAACTTGAGCGAATCCGTCAGCAGCAGGAGGACATAAGGCGCAGACGGGAAGAAGAGGGAAAGAAACAAGAACTGGACCTTACTGCTTCCATGAGGCTAAAGAAACTGGCACAAATTCCTCCTAAAACCGGAATAGATAATCCAATATTTGACACAGAAGAAGGAGTTGTTTTGGAGAGTCCTCATTATACTGTCAAGACACTAGGTAGGTAAAATGCAATGAATGGGCTAATGGAGAAAATATTTAGTTGATATTAATGTTCTTTTAGGCCACTGAAAACCTAATTTAGCTAATTCTTCCTATACAGATTTAAAGTCTTCTGATCCTTTGGATTTGTGGTGGTTTGGGTTTGTTTATTTAGTCAAGCATCAGGCTATGTGCCTTAGCAAGTGGCTTTTCAAACCGATCCATTTAGGGAACAGTTAAAGACCCTGTAGATAACTAATTAGTTGGGTGGGTGTCTCCATATTCCTTAGGCTGGGGAACGCCATGCAAGTAATACCCAATGTTAATTATGTTTGATGAAGCACAGACCAGAATAAGCAATGAATAAACACTTATTGTCATTTGAAATCAAAATGCAAGAGTTTTTACTATTTTAAAGAAAAACATGCTGGTGGTTTCTTCTTATTCTGGCTGTCTTGCAGTATCAATTGTCACCTAATATAATTTACATTTTCTCTTAAAGTATTAATGTTGACAGTGAAAATCTGCTCACCTTGGCACTTAGACACTGATGAAAATGTAACGTTAGTAATTTTTGAAGAAATAGATTCTGAAATTGTTCATTTCATAGCTGTCATTGCTTTAACTATGCTTGTGTAGAAAAAGTTTCTAACCTTTCTTCCTCAAACATAAGTATTTATTTATCTAAAATGTAGTGTGTCACTGAAGTGGAAAAAGAGGCACTGGGAATTTGTAGGAGTCCAGTTCAGATTTCCAAATCTATACTTGTTCTGAGATCCAGATTGCTTTAAAAAGATGCCTTTTTTTGGGCTGCTGTAAGGATTCTTGCTAATTTTTCCTATTGGCTGGTAGTTGAGAACACAGACTGAAAAATAGCTATCAAATTGCCTTGGGTTTTTTTGTTTTTTGGGGGCTTTTTTTGCTTCATCTTTAGTATTTGTGTGCCTGAGCAACAATTCTGCTAAAGAAATGTGTCTATTCCATAAGCTCTAGTAATCCTTATTGTACAAATACCTCTGTAGGAAAATTTAGGTTGAAAGGATCATCAGGAAGTCATCATGTCCAACCTCAGGCTGAAAGCAGGGTCAGTTACGAACAAGGCAGGTGTTAGTTTGTTTCAGTGCAGGGCTTGTCATCTTCTGTCCCAAGAGATCTCTTTGTAAGAAGCAGATTCTAACACTTCATTAAGTACAGATACTTGATTGTGAAATTTTCTTCTTAGAGGGAACACAAAGCAGAAGCTGTAAGATTGATGTCAGTAGAAGTGACTACTGTTGGGACTTACTTAGCCACAGTGACTGAAAGCTCTGAAGACTGACTGCAGGAGGAGCTGGAAACTGGAACTGCAAAAGAGAGGGAAGAAAGTGACTTGGAATTAGAAACCTGAAGCTAGGTTTCCTGGCAGAGATGCTGAGAACTTGAAGGGAGGGCTAGGTGGAAACCAGTGGGCAAAGAAGCTAGGCATGGAAGCTGGTAGGAATGAGAAATGAGTAACAGGTATGGGTCTGACAAGCTTGAGAACCTGTAAGGAGCTGGGGTACACTGAGGCTGTTTGAAGAGACAACGGTGGAGAAATTACTGTGATAACGAAAGGCTATTTTGAAAATCTCTCAGTGTAGGGATAAAACCGGTACAGGCTGTGGGGGAAGCTGAAATATTGTCAGAGAAAGACAGTATTTGTGGAAAGGTGGAAGGAGGAAACTAGGTTTGGCTCAGCAAGAAGAGAAGGGGGGAAACTGGTGTGAATGGAAGCTAGAATTCTGTGAATACTTAATGTAAGAAGAAAAACACCAAACACTGGAGACAAGAATATAAAGGTCTGCATGTGGAAGAGGTAAATTAAGAAATAGCAATATATGGTATAAGATCCATCTTGAAGGAAAATGACTAGATGATTTTTGTCTATAAGGACAAACTCCTCACTTTTGTGATCGAAGTTGGAGTCTTGTCATTGTTCTGCTGTCAGCATATTTCTGTAAAAACACAGTAGTAAGTTGCAGGATTTAACTAAAGCTGTTACCCTCACTGTTCAGAAACCATGGAAATCAGAAAACTAACGATGTCTGTCTCTACTCTGAATTGCGGTAAATAAGGCTTAAGAGTGTGTGCACAGAGCAGAAGTATTGACTAGCCTGCTGAGTGAATATGGTCTGTTCTTTGAACTAGAAGGACAAGGAGCTTTAGGAGAGTAAATTACATTTTAAGAGAGCTTAATTACATTTAGGAGATGTAATTAGGCTAAATTATGATATAGCCATATATGCACCATGGAGCTGAATTAGGACCTCATAGACATCTATTTCAGTCAGAGAAGTCAAGAGATAATATTGGCAGGCATACATATGTACTATCGTTATTTCCTTGCCAGACAGAATTTATAGTAACAATTTGGATCAGTTAGACTTAAGACTTAAGAAGACAGGATTTATAATAGTTTAGCACTCCTGTTAAGAGTGGTGCTTTTGATTATATTCAACTGTGATGTTGAGTTGTTGCAAACTTAAAAAAAGTTCTAAATGAAATACTGTGGTCTTTTAACCTATATAGTCCATAAAGAATCTCTGTTCAGTCCTTAGTGCTGTCAAAAAATGAGTCATAATTTTAAATTTAACGAAGTGCTTCTGCAGTATCTTGTCCTCTTCCAAAATTTTCCTCCACTATTAAGCATGTCCTTTTTCCAGTTTCTGAATTAATCATTCTAACATCTGACACTAATCCTGAATTTCAAGAGAAGAATTTTTTTTATGCTGAAAGCTGTCTGTTCCTGATTAGTATCAGGGCTAGGAGTGTTGCCTTATAGATACAGATATATATGCACACACACGCACACGAATACACTAACATTATGCACACTAATATGGTTTCATAGAGAGGATTTGAGTCCATTATTGTTAATACTTCTGCTTTTTTATTGAATATCTGAATTGGAGAGCTGGATTTTTTTAAATTTACATATTCAACTTTTTGGTCTCCGATAAACTTGCTAGACCATGTCTTTGTCCAAAAAATAACTCATAGTATGTGAAATTTTTTACAGTTTGTCTGCTTGGTTATACTGAATTTCTGATCTACACTCCTGCTGACTCTTTCCATCTTCCCACTTTTGCTGTCTGGGTGAGAGTGCTGAGTCACTTTTACAAATCTCTAAGCTTGGTTAGGACAACCCCAAATAAACCTGGGCAGGTGCTAGTGAATTAGAGAGATGTTAAACTATCTTTCTTCACTCTTTTTTTTTTAAAATTCTGATTTCAGTTTTGCTTTTTTTGTGGTGGTTTTCTTGTGTGTATGTTAATCCATGGAGCCTCTGCTAAAGATAGGTGTTTTAAATAAGAATATTGACCTGATTGTCTGTATTTTTAGTTTCAAAAATATTTCATAAGTGCCAGTGTCTAATTTGGCAGATCTTTGCCAAGTCTGTAATCTTTTCATCTTAAACAAAACCAGCAGACTAGATTAAACAAATTGGATTTTATTTATAAAAATAAAACAGGACACTTAATCAAAACAATTTAAATGGCATGTTTGTTATCAAAACAGTATATGGTTTAGACAGCTGTCTTAATGGAAATAACTTTCTGTGCACCTCAGACATGTGCATGTAAGTATGTAACTGGCTTTTTCACAGCCTTCTACTTCTATAAAATGCAGAATTTTTTGTATGCTACGGTTCACTCAGCTGATTTAGTTAATTTAGTTAAAGGTGTAACGTTTCATGTAAGTAAACCTTTTGTGGCTACAGTGAATTTTTTTTTTTTTGGGGGGGGGGGGGG